AGAGTGAAGAACTTAATCTATCTGATAATTTTGACAAAACCACTGATGACGCAGCATGTGAGGCTAAGTCAGCTTGTGCTCACATTGCTACTACATTAAAAGCAACTGACACCTCTCTTGTCCCCAAAGTAGAACCTGAGCAAAAACTAACCAAATGTGATAAGCAGATTATTGAGAAGATACGTAGCTATTATGAGGCAGCAGAGGCAGGTGTTGAGGAGGGTCAGACAGCACGAAGAAACAGCTTCTCTCATATTCCTGCTGGATTAGTGAAGGATTCGGTGTCTAGATTCAATGTTTGTGTTCACCAAGACAGTCTAATTGAGTCTGAGAGTAGCCGCTCAGGCTGTGAAACTGACGCAGCATCTTCATTACTCCCAACATCAGACCAATCTGACCAGAATTTCAACCATGAGGAATCTGCTGATCCAGCCATTCCTCTTTCACATTCAGATGTTATCCAAGAACAAAAAGAATTATTAAGCAGCAAGAATGCTGATAAAATGGATGAAGACATTTGTGATTTCAATCCCTGTATGAAACTGTGGAAGGAAAAAGAAAGAACTGGCCAAGACTCTAAAAACAATCTGAAAGTCTCTTTCTCAAAAGAAAAGAGCTGTGGTGAACATACATATGCTCCTGAGAAAAACAAGGCATCCCTAAATTGCACAACAACCCAGATGCAGCATAAACATGAGCATTCACAATGCAATCCTGACACTTCAGACACATCTAATCTGCAGACGAGAGAGACAGCGGATACATCTCTTCAGTATGAAAGTAGAACAAGAGCTAGGATGTCCTCTAGCGGAAACCTGGATAGCCTTCCCAGTCAGATTAAAGTTGGCCGATGGTCTTGTCATGGCAAGGTAGTAACGTGTAGCCATACCCTTTACGAAGGAATGGAAGAGGTACCAGATTTAGGATTTTTTGAGGGTGGACCAGTCAATCAATGCTTGGTAGAGAACTCAGAAAAGATTCTTAATAAAGTGCAAATGCTTGCACGCATGTACACAGCGAAAGCAAGCAGCATGAAGGTACCACTACACCAGAAGAAAACACGAGTGAGTAGAGGAGCATGGTCAGTGGAAGGAAATGAGAGCACTTCACCCAAGTCTCGGCAAGTACAGCTGCACCAGGGGGATATGAGAATACTAAATCAGCCCACAGGTGAGTTCCTAATCCATATATAATTCAATTATGATCTTGTGTGATATCATTTTACACATTAATTTAAATCTGTTTAATAAAATGTTGCCTATTCTTTTGTTGCAGAAGAGTCTTCAGTATCAACACCTACTGAGCCTTTTGGTCACATCATTTTAAGGGAGAAGCTGTCTACAACATATCACCAAGAAAATGATTGTAATCTCATTGGGCCCCCAGATGAGATCTCAACAAATGGATCTAATTCACTGTATTTTTCATGTGCTGAATCCTCTGCTACTTCATTAACAACTGTTATGGAATCACAGGTCTCTGTAATATCAGACCATAGAGAAAGCTCCTTAGAAAAATGTGAGTCTAAAGTACAAGAGGGCGATCAATCCTTGTCACTTTCAACTTGTTCTGGAACTCAAGTCCAAGTTGAGCCAGAAATGCCATCCAACCTAGCCAGGTTTCCATTGGACAAGCATGCTGACATTGTACTGCAGTCCGTTCAGGAGAACCATTCATATGCTGTGGACAAATCCATTGCAATAAATAGGACGGAAGAAAGACAGACATTGCAAGAAGAGAAACCTGCTTTTGTGAGAAATTCTGGACCAAGTAGTGAACTTTTTATTGACTCACTATTCATTAAACATTTAGAAGAAGAGATTCACAGTGTAGAGGAGAAAAGGGACTTAATTGTACAGCACTGTGAAAGCATTTTGTCCATTGATGATAAACAAGATGAAATACATACAGGACATTTGAATTCCAAGCAGGCCCGGGCTGATACTGAAGCCACTAGCATGGAGGAAATAACACCTGTAGTGTCCTCTGTTAGTGAAGTAGGTGCATATCCCCCATTACAGTCAGCAGCCTCCTCGAAAGTCATCTCTGAAGGATCAGAGCATTCATACCCTTTAGCCCAGTTGCAGGATGATGCAACTAGCCCTACACAACTGACACCTCTGCTTGGTTCATGTTGCAAGTGTAGTCCACTGGATGTTAAATCCAAAGAGGACCCGAGCAATAATTCAAAGACTTTGAGCCCACCCTCTACACCCCCTGTAGGTGGACCTTCTTTGGATGAGCTTCTCAGGTTTACTAGCCAAAGTCCTTCCAATCTACCTTCTGCCACAGGAAAGAGAACTCCCTTCACCAATTGGAATCCATCATCTCCAGCCACTCAAAGGTAGTCTGCGAAGCATGTCACAAACCAAACTGTAGTTATATAGTGTATCCAACTGATATTTAGGTTATGCCGTTGTAGTTTATATTACAGCAGTGTAAGCAGTGCATTTTAATCTGTCTTATCTTGCCTTTCAGAGTGCCACATACTTCACTGCGGACCGAGGAACAGATTCAGGATACTTCAACTCCTGGCCTTTCTCACAGACAGTCTTTCTCCCAGGCTCTTAATGACAAGCCTTCAAACATTTCGTTTGGTTGTGGACTTCCATTAGATGCGAAACCACCGTCTGCCTTTAGCCCAAACCTGCGAATGCGATCACCCTCTCCAAATAGAAGTGCCCAGAACTCCAGACTGTCCTCAATGGCCTCAGCTCATACAAAGTCTCTTGCTGCCTCTTGTATTAGTCAGACAATTTCTCAAACCATGGCCAAGAGAAGTGCACATCTTCAGACTGCTTCCCCACCTGTGAGCTCTTCTCCTTTGCCCACATCTTCTTTAAGGCTAAGGTCACCATCACCTAAACCCATCACCTTGGACTCAAGTGCGGAGTCAGGTTTTAGGAGTACATCCAGCACTGGGGTAGGGAGTCAACCCCTAAGGTCTTGTCCATCCCCATTCAGATCAAACAGTCTTCGATCTAGTCCATCAACAGTTCAGTCCCCTCCTCACCATAGTCAACGGTCAATATCCCCTGCACCTCCAGTTAGCCTCCATTCAGCTCCATCTGCTAACAGCCCAAACTCTGCTGCTCTTGAACAGCCTTCTTACACCAGTTTAAATGGTAATAATAACAATAACAACAGTTTAAGTAATAACGGATGGGCCACTAACCACAAAACAACACCACACTCAAGTGTGGGTGGACTCCCTCATTTCCATGATCCTCAAAGAACAACCTTGCACAATAGGGTGGCTCGTCCCTTTCCGTCCTCTGAGCCTAGCTCTCGTGTACAGTCCCCTTCTATTTGCCCATCTCCAGTCACCCAAATCTGCTCCCCTCCACCTGCTCCAAACCACTCCAGTCATCTGGTAACAAAGCCACCAAATCCCAGAACCCCCAGACAAGGTAGCTTTTTTACCCCTCTATCTTTGGAAATCTCAAGATCAACATCAGCTAGCTCATTATCTCCCTGTGAGAGCCCCAGAATCACCTCTCCACCTCCTATTGGCATTCCTGCAAATGTATGGGGTGTTGCTAATCCGCAGCCAAGGAATCCCTCAATAACAAATGCATCTTCTCCAACAAAAGTGGAAACAAACTCTAGAGGCCCCAGAATCATCTCTCCTACCCCAATGGGAATGTCTTCATGTTCAGCAACCAGCTCGCAGAGCCAGAGGAGGCTTCGAGGAACCAGTTTGTCCTTTGTTGCTCTAGGGGATAGACCACCCAGTCCAACTACACATGAACGCAGGTCTTGGGCAGAAAGTGGACGATGGTCAGTGGGTTCAGAATTGGGGTTAATAAGTCCTCGTGGGGGTTCATACAGTGGCAGCCCATCTTCTATCAGCCCTGGCCCTCTTTCACCTGTCAGACTAACAACTGAAAGGACCAGTCATAGCGGAAAACATTTCACAAGCATTGCCTGGCCAGATGTATATGATATGTTGACAAAATACAACACAGAGCCCAATACTGAATCTGATGCTTTGTCCTGCACTGAGACAGAGAAAGATGACATAGTGATTTCAGAATCTACTTGTCGGAGCACCCTGATCTGTCCCTATGTCGCACCTGCTAACCCAAATATGAGTCCCATTCAGTGCCCAACCGAGGGCAAAACAGAAGACAGTGTTCCTAATCAAGGGTCCAAAACAACATTAAAAATCAGTTATGCCACCACAGTCAACTTGCAGATTGCCGGGAGTGGGAGGATAGCATCCTTTAGCAATGCACAAGTCAGCCTGACTCAGACACTGTCCCCTGTGGCAGACAGCCAGAGCAGGAGAAGGGTCAGCATCAATAGCTGCAACTTCTCAATGCAGAACAGCAAAAGGTTTTGAGTGGTGTGCTCCTGAGGTCTAGTATGGTGCCTCATTCTTCAAAGACACTTTATCTGGCACTTTAGGAGGTAGCAGAGGAGTCAGCTTTGAGATCCAAGTCCACTCCACTCAGACGGAAAAAAAAATCATGGACTATAAAATACGGGTGTCAGCCAGTTGATGCTATGGTCATTGTTTTTTTTTGTTTGTTTTTTTATTAACCCTCAACCCTACTTCCTGGCCAAGATACCAGTAAAACATCAATAAAAGACTGCTTTGCTATATTTGACAGTGTTTATTTTATTGCATCTAAGACTCTGTAATATGCAAATGTATTATATGTAATTGAACTAAAGCCTCTGTCATGAAAGGCTTTTAGTTGGCTGTGATATATAAAGAACTTATTTATGAAGTAGTTGTTTTCTGGCACTTAACTCTTGTTTCTTTGTTTTGCACATTTTTCTCGAATGTGGTCCGGACGTGTCTGGAAAATAGTGTGTTTCAGACAAAACATTCTCATGTATGTTAAAATAAATTTTTATTGCCAGTGTTCTATACAAATTTGGTTAATAATGCATTTGAAAACATGGGAACATGAATCGCTGCTTTGATTGATGTTAATACAGACATCAAAACATCTGATATTTTGCATTGATGGAAATGTTTGCTGTACACCATGAAAAAGCATTACATCATTCCCAAGAAAGGTATTCTGGTGCAGACTAAGACAAGGTAATGGTAATCAAATTGACTCTTGATTTTGTTTCAATTTTTTGTGTATTTTTAATGTAATGCATTGTTGATTTCTTAACGTGATTGTCACAATAAATGCTTAAGTCAATTAAACATATATCTCAGATTTGTTTACCTAAGGTCTTGCTCCACACCATGCCTGATAGAAATGGTGCAAAGAAAACAAATGTTCATACCTGATCTCTACTTACTGTAAAAAAATTCCATGATTGTCACACTGTATGGAAAATGTGCTCACTGTTATTTGTACCTAAATAAAACCTGCATAGTGTAATTCTGATTGAGCCACTGACTTACCACAACTTTTATTTTTAGTAAAAACAAATGGTATTTTGCTGGAAACAAGTGATATCATGGTAGATGCATGGGTATGTCTCAGATAAGGGGGAAAAAGCATAGGGCCGGTGAAGGAAATTTTAAATGTAATAAATTAATCATAAAATCATTTGATCACAAATAATGTGTAACACTTCTTTTCCTTGCAGGCCTAACTTTTGATTACGTAAATGTTCTAGTCTTAAATAGCATTGCAATAATGAAACATGATGTCTGTTTGAGACTACTAATAATGATACATTATTTAAGGAATAAGCTGAGGTATCAGTAACCAAGTAGAAGTGGTCTTTGATTTTTCACATAAAGAGAACCAATCAGATCAGAGGAAAATGATGTAATGTGACATGTTACCTTTGCTATGTACCTTTCCTATAAAAACTGTTGTATCATTGTTGTTGGGGGATTCTCTGTGATTGAGATGATATCCTCCCGGCTGTGATTAAAGCATATTCAAAGGCATTGTTTGGAGTCCGTCTGGTTACTGCTGCGCAGCAGGTTAGTTTAACATTAGAGATCTTAGTCCCAAAGTGATAATTTTCATAGGGGCGAGACGTCGCCCGACTCAGTACAGTGTCGCCAGTAGACGCTCTAGGGTTCCTCAAATCTTGCCCTGGAGGGCCAATGCGCTACAGAATTTAGCTCCAACCCTGATCAATCTCACCTACCTGTGATTTTCTAATGATCCTGAAGACATTGATTAGCATGCTCAGGTGTGTTTGATTAGGGTTAAAGCTAAACTCTGCAGGAAAGTGGGGGTTAGGACGATTCCAAGGGCCCGACGAGGGAGAGGGGGCCCGGTTATTTATAGCAAAGGCGGAACCATATTGTTTTAGTGCAGAAATAATCGGTTTACAGTTTAGGAGGATGATTGATTAAACTGTTCTGTTGTGAGGATTTCACTCCTGTATGTCTCAGAATGTCAGACATTTGAAGGAATATATAACGCGTAGGCTAATTCTTGACGTATTTAATCGCGTTTTTTTAAAGAACCACATACATTAAAACTATATCGTCTATGCATTTATTAAATATTTACACTTGTCAAGTCAACATAAAATACTTTCAGTTTCGGTGGCTCCCCCAGTGTAGATGTTTCTATGACTCATGAGGGCATCACAGTCCAGCCCAATCACGCGGCGGTATAAAGATACTCGACTGCAGTTCACACACTCGGCCGCGGTTGTACTACGCTGTGTTGCTCATGAAGACGGATAGAGTTAAGTCGATGTCATTTCAGCTGAAAGTGGACAGAGACTCGGATATCAGCGTTTTATTATTGTTTTGGTTTTGCCTTGGAGTTGTGGCAGATGAAAACACGCTGAGGTGTTCTGCATAATGTTTCCGCCTGAATGTGCAATTCTGCCTATTGACGTCTTAAACTATTCCCTCCAGAAATGTTTGATGAGGTAGGTCTGTGCTACAGTTTGACTACTGCAGTTTTAAAAATGCCTGTTGAGTAACTAAGTCAGTGTTAAATTATCATCATTAGAAATAGATCAAAATAGGCCTATTTAAAAAATAAAAAAAAATACTAGGCTAATAATAAATAAAAAATATTGTTACTTCTTTTCAAGGCATATTCTTGTTAATTCTGTATTATATAATGTATTGTGTAATCTGTATTTGTCCCACCCAACACCCCCAACCACCTCTCCATCTTGTTTCTTTAGATTAGAGGCAGAATGTGTCTTCAGCTGCTCTAGCGTGAATCTACTAATAAAAGCCAAACCCTAGTGAGGAGGAAATGTAGCCACTCAAAGTCCCTATGTCTTCCTAGGCCTGGTGACAGATGTGTTGGGGAGGGAGAGCTGGATAGTTGATATGAGGACAGAGTTGCTCCACTATTCCATGCATTTTACTTCATTATTTCTGTATCTGCTGATCATGTTGACAAGACAGATCAAGTGTCAATGCAGCAAAGAGAGTGTGAAGATGGTGAAAAGGATCACAACAGAGCTGAGCAAAGTGGTAGCACATGATTTAGTACTACTTTTTCTTTTTTTTTACTTCTGAATTGAAAAAAATCTGTCTAGCCTGTTCTTACTCTGCTCCTGTTTAAGGTGTGGTTTCTCTCATAACAGAAAAACGATAGCATGCTGTACACTCCAACTCTAGCAGATTATGAGGTATGTGATTTCACACACAGTCTTTAGTTATCAGTATACTGTTTTAATATGCTGCCAAAAATCATTTGCCTGAAGTGGCACTTGAATCTTTGGCATTTGATACTGATAGTATCATTACTGTTAGGATAAATTATCAATTTAATTGAATTGCTTTAAAACCGGAGGATAGAGAGAGTGCTTTTGATAAATTGCATTAATATGAAGGCTAAATGTTTACTTAATAATATTGTAGGCAGTGATGTTGAAGTTCTGGGCTCATAGATTTTTGTGAAGAACAGCTGAGGCATTTTTGTCCTTTGATTATTCTTTAGTTGACCTTTAGTGTAAACACAACTGTAACTGGAATACATTCTTGCACTTATTCACTGATATATTTCAAAAAGATTCTGACATTAGTGTCAGCACTATTTGTAGATTGTGTTGTGTTATTCAATTTTATTATCTACATACAGGCCAGTGTGATTCAGAGTGAGAAAGCACAGATGTCACACTTATCACAAAGTGTTATGGCAAAATATGTAGGAATCATTAAAGGATTCGTTCACTTCCAGAATAAAAAAAATCCTGATAATTTACTCACCCTCATGTCATCCAAAATGTTCATGTCTTTCTTTCTTCAGTCAAAAAGAAATTAAGGTTTTTGAGGAAAACATTCAAGGATTTTCTCCATATAATGGACTTCAATGGGTGCCAACAGGTTTCAATGCAACATCAAAGGGCTCTACACTAATCATTTAATATAATATAATATAATATAATTCACAAAAAATATCAAGTTCAATCATTTTTTTTTATATCACAGACAGTTTTTGTTTTTGAGTGTAGCCTACTATTAAAAGGATAGCATCGATGTAATATTTTTAAGTGACTTATTTGATCTTTTTTGTTAATGGAAATGTGTGTGGAAGAAACCAGACCAGACCACATTCCAGTTAACACTGTATAACTCCATCCATCTGAAATAAGAAGCTGGAATAGATTGTCTGTTGATATGATTGCAAACAGTGTTTATTGAATTTGTCATCAGTAATCAAAATTCCTTCAATTAAAATAGAAATGTTATACAGAGAGAAATAGGTTTGTAATAGGTTTATTATAGGTTTGCTCTTTTCATATAATTAGGAATGGTGTTGACTACAATATTATACTCTTTTAATGAAGCTACAAATTAAACTTTTCTGGAGAACTCTGAAAAGGAATAAAACTGACCATTGTCATCTATCAACTCATTAACAATATAGATATTATTTAAATACCAATTATTTCTTATTTCTGTAAATAATATTCTGATTGTTCCAAATAAACCTTTAAGTCTAAGAATATAGTTAAAGCAGGATCCAAAACCAAATCACAATAATCAATCAAATCAAGAACTAACCTTACATTGTTGGATATGTGGCAACCCTTCATAAACCCTGACTGGCACTCATCAATCAGATTTAAGTTGTTTTGCCAGGACAAATGCCGAAATTTTATAGTCATTATTTAATAATGTGATTAGGTGCAAGTTATCAATCAAAAGAGTATTTTGGTACTAGGTTAACAATACCCTCTCTCATTGATGGTGGAAGTCATCCATTGACAAATGATTTTTCATAAACTGCCAAGAAAAATTTAGATAAAGGGTCACACATTTTTTTTAGAATGCTCTGAAGTCAACCTATCACACTTCACAGATTTTTTTTTCGCATTTAACTCCACCTTTATTTTTTCAAGATTAAAGAAATATGTACTATTTTTTTCTCCCATCTCTAACCACTGCTTTCTTGATCTAATAAAGGCTCCCATAGCTTTTTCTGCATATATTTTGTTATTTTAGAGTTTATTCATTCACATTCATATTGAAAATTCCTCTCATAAATAAATCCCAATATCTGATCAGTAATTGGATGCTTTTTCTAATGTAAATGTGCCAATGACGCTCTTACAACTTTTTTTTTTTGCATATTCAAATCTGTTTTTTTGTAGTCAGAACAGGAAAAAACACATGAAATCTAATTTTCACAAGCGCAGTCCGAACCACCTTTGTAGGTGGTTTGAAATCTGATTAAAATCTTAATGCTTTTTATTTGAAAGATCAAATGTTGGTTTTCAGAAGTCATTTGTGATGCAATTTGTTAAATCACATTCCCACCAGTCACCGCATTTTGCAGTTACATATTTCTCTGATATTCTGATATATATATATATATATAATATATGCTGTTTATTTTTTACATAGATAAAAAATGTATGTTTGCTGAAAAGTCTGTGCAGGCTTTAAGCCTCACCGCTTCTCCAGGCTATTAATTGTTGTCATCTCCTTTAGCAGAACTGCTCCAGGTCCACGCTTACATGCTTTGCAATGGAAGTGAATGTTTTGTTTGTCGAAATCCAGAGTGTGGCTAAATTTCAGTCTCGGCACCTACCAAAGATCCTCAAGTTGCTGACGTATAAGGTGAGTTCAATATCTGACATTTAGGATGATCCAATAATGGTATTTACAGTCATATTTGTAAATAGTTTGTAGTGACTTCAAGGCTAGCAAGAAAGCAGAGAGATCCACAAATAAACATTTAAAATATATTAATTCAAATAAACATTGTTACATTGCAAAACTGTAGGGATCACGAGGTATTTTCAAGAAACATTGAGGTAATACTTATTTAAAATACTATTCTTTATTATTCAACAGTTATTGAAAAGTATTGATTTAATCACAGCCAGTAAAACTAAAAATCATTCAATTCACAATACACAACATATTGTCCAAAGCCGGCAGTGGCAAGTATGTGGAAAAAACCATGAGAGGAATCGAAACTCAGCGATGGAAGCCCACTTTCTAGGGTTGACACACATTCAGACAATGTTATTTAAAGCATAAATGCATGCATGCATGCATACATACATACATAGATGTTTCACCAGATATAATGCTTCTAACCCTTTGCTGTCATTAAAAATCATGTTAAAAAAGATTAAAATGTTTTCATAGGATTCACACATGTACAAATATCAATATCACTAAAAATAAAATAGATACTAAGAAATGTAAAGAAAAACTATTGTTAGAACTTGCCTGCACCCAGACATACAGTAATTACAGTGTGTTGTGCATTACACGTGTCACACAGACAGCTGAAATAACAAACAAAAAAATTCCACTCAAGAGTGTATGTAAGTGCGTACAGAAATATGGGTTTCACATGTCTGCTTCTAAAGCCTCTGGCCTGTTTGCATGCTAGTCAGCCATTTTAAATGTATTTACTGCTCAAGTTTTTACTAATGGGTGAGGTGAAAATATTTGGATTGCACTTCTATGGACTAGAGTACAAGGATAGTATGTAATAAGTTTGTAAACAAAGTTTGAAGTTGGCTTGAGAAAGCCTATATAGCCAAAAAAGAAAGTTTGAAGTAGTTTTAAAAGCATGAAATTTGAAGCGGTTTTAAGTTCAGAGCAGTTTTTAAAAGCTTGATGTTTGAAGCATTTTAAAGTTTAAAACCGTTTCAAAAGCTTGAAGTTTGAAGCGGTTTTAAAATCTTGAAGTGTTAAGTTTTTCAGGCCATGCAGTCTCTCCAACAGATAGAATGCTATGTGGTTGCTAGGGTATTTTGGGTAGTCGTTAGGGTGTTGCTGTGCAACTACTAGGATGTTCTGGATGAATGCTAGGTGGTTGTTAGAACGTTGCTATGCAGCTGCTAGAATATTCTGGTTGGTTAAAGGAAAAGGTCTAGAGTGCTGCCATGTGGTTGCTAGAAAATTGCTATGTGTTTGCTATGGGTGTTGCGTATAGTGCTTAATTGCACTTCTTGAATGTGGAAAATTTCCAGTAAATTTCAGAAACATTCCAGAAATTTTGGAAACTTTCCAGGATTTTTTTTTTAATATTCCAAGGATTCTTGGAAAGTTTCCGGAAATTTTCCACCCCTTTGCAACCCTATTCCATAGTCATTAAAATTGCTATGTGTTTGCTATGGGTGTTGCGTATAGTGCTTAATTGCACTTCTTGAATGTGGAAAATTTCCAGTAAATTTCAGAAACATTCCAGAAATTTTGGAAACTTTCCAGGATTTTTCTTTCCAGGATTCTTGGAAAGTTTCCGGAAATTTTCCACCCCTTTGCAACCCTATTCCATAGTCATAAGGCACGTACACCTGTTAAATATACAACACCATGTCAAACTTCAACCTGATACACTGCTGAAATTGTAGATCTGTTCCAAAACCTAAGCTGCTTTGTTGTTTACTGTCTACACAGGCAGCTACCTTTTAAGTAAACATCCTAATTGAAATGAAAGCTTTTAATATTATATGACACTGACTTTGTAATAGTGAGCAACTCTTTATGTCTCAAAAAACAACACTCTTTAAGAAAACTCCACATAAGACTTTGCTCATAATTGATTCGTTTGATGTTAGCATTTTGCTAAGCTAAAAGCTAAATAATTTAATAAGCAACTCTTAAAAATAATGCTTCTTACGTGAGGTGCATGAGACTCTGCTTACAATTAAATCCAATAGATTTTGAAGTTAGCATGTTGACTCTGTAAGTTAAATTAAAATATAACCTAGAAATGTATTAATGAGAATCACACATGCACATATTATAGAACTAAAAAAGGACAAGGAATAAATGCTGTTTCTGATTTTGTGAATCTGGATTGCGTTGTTTCTGGAATGCATTATCTTCAAAACACTTTATCTGCTGTGCACTAATCTTACATAATACCATATTAAGTTACAGGACAAAATGAAGCCATGCCCAGACTGCGAGCTCTATCGAGAAGAAACAGCAGAGACTTTTTTGGAAACCTTACAAAATGTTTTACAACGGATGAATGCTGAAAAAAGCTGTGCTCCAAAGAAGAATAAGAGACATTTAGAAGAAAAAAAAGAAGAAAAACCCCCTTAAAAACATGAAAGAGCAGCTTTGTGGATTCCTGAAGCAGTTCTGGAGAAGTTTCTGAGTAGCAAAACACCATATACCAAGCTGCACATCTACAGTACATATCCATCTGTAAATGAACATGCAAAGATATATTTTATTAAATAACTTTTATGGAATATTTGTTACAATAGTCTGTTTTGACAACAAACTAAACCCATGTCCACTGTTTTGCGAATAATACAGTTTGTTGGTTTGAGAATTACTGTAGTATATTCAACTAAAATAAATTATTACTGTCACCTTGACTATAATAGTGTCATGTAGAAGATTTAACTAGTCAAAGGAACCAAAAGCATTAGCCTGGGCCATAAAATGTGATGAGACAAGTTCGTTGAACAAATGTTGACCTTTTGTTACATGCCATGTTGAGTCATTAAATAGCCAACGATAAGTGTACATTATTGGCTATTTAATGACTTTTCCATTATTGGCAAATAAAGTTCTTATGTTACACTCTCTCGCTGTTCTGTAATTTTGGAAAAGAAAGAGTCTGCTAAAAAAGAATAATGTGATGCACTTTATGAAATATCATCCAAAACCAGTGCTCTGTTTAAAATGTTGACAAACCTTATAGAATAGCCTTCTTTGATTTGGTAGGGGTTTACCTTGATGATTATCAGTGTCTTGAAATGTCTTGACATGTTTTATTTAGGCTACCCTGAGATATGTGCAATACAATGAATGCCTTACTTACATGCTTTGTTTGATGAAACTCGCACATAATACCATAAAGCAACCAAGAGTCTGTAGAACATTTGCAGCCAGAGCTCCAAACATCCAAACAAATACTGTGATTCACGTCCACCAGCAAAACTTCATAAAGTTGCTGTAGTCTGAAATGTTTTAGTTAAATTTTTTACTGTAATTTGACCTTTACAGATGGTCTATAACTTTGCAGAGAACATGCATGTATGATCACACTACATAATAGCTTTAAATGTATATCAATAGATAAGGTTAAGTGTCCTACATACATTTAACCATTGTTCTGCTTAATGACATGAAAGGAATTTGACAGCCTTCAGGTATTTTAAGGGCATGTTGCCATGTTAGACTTTGTCTTAGTCTTTGTCCAAAGATAGTAGTTTCATATCACTTATCAGTTGAATTTGAAGCGTTTGTAACAACTGCTGAAACATTTTGTGGCCTTTATAATGGTGTGCAATAAAACAAAAAACAAAACAGAGAAAGAAAGAAAGAAAAGGCAACACCTTCAGATGTTAACTGGCAATGCCAGGAGATCTAAATATATTTTTATGAGCTGTTTTATGTTTGAATCATTTGATTCTTCTCATTTATTGTTTTTTCTTTTTACTTTTATGTGATTTTGCAATTGTATAGCAATGAACATTAAATTAACATCACAATTAAATGGTCAAAATGTATCAAAAAATTTCAAAGTAGCAGATTGTAACAGATTTATGTTAAATATGTATATATATATATATATATATATATACAGAGCTGGGTAGTTACTGATTACATAATCTGGATTACATAATCAGATTCCAAAAATTAAGTACTTGTAATTATATTAAATTACATTTTTTAAATACTCGTAATCAGACTACAGTTACTTTTTTTATGGATTACATGATTACATATTATTCACACAATAGCAATAAATTATTCATAATTTATCAATTCTCCTAATTCCTCTTTTTCATCTTTTTAAATGTTCCTTTCTAAAATATCCTACCACTTATATACACTCAAAGTCTTTTGTGGACATTCACACAGAGATCAGTCACTAGTCAGATGGCTACACAGCATTTGACCACTGGATTTACAAAAATAATTTCAAGTGTTTCAACGTTGCATCAACTACTGATGAACACAATTCATTTTTATTTGAATTATCACTCAGTAGGTTATTTAGCCATCTATTACAATGTCTTTGGAAGGCATTTGTCTTTCAAACACATTAAAATGCACAAATTCACATTATTTCTTATTTACATATAATGCAGGCATTCCCAAATTTTTTTTTGTCATCTGAACATCTTTCATCTAATATATTTACTTAAAGTACCCCTAAAATTTGAAAATAAATATTTTAATAATTAAGTATCACATTTGCATGTTCACAGTTCTCTGACGTTGGTTAATGGTCACATGATATGCAGGTAAACAAATAAAATAATTAATTTTTTTAGGAAGTGTTTTATTTATTTTTATGTTATTTTAAAATGATTTACTTTAATTTTAAATTTTTATGATTTAATTAATGATTAGCTTTTCGTTAAACTCGCAAACCTCCTGCAGTTCCTTCATAAACCCAAGTTTGGGAAACCTTGACGTAATGTAATGTTTAATCCACTTTATGTTGTTAATTTCAACGAATGGAATATATTTTCTTTCTTTTTTTATTTTTATATCAATATGGTACAAGATTTTCTTATTTAAATCAATGTGATAAGTGAGTAAGGTCAAAAGTAATCTAAATGTAATCTAAAAGTAATCTGATTATATTACCTGAAATGTGTACTGTAATGTAATGGATTACGTTACAAACTACAATTTTTGTCATGCAATTTGTTTACATAATATATGTGTGTGTACTGTGTATATTTATTATGTATATACAGTGCCTTGCGAAAGTATTCATACCCCTTCATTTTTTTTCACGTTTTGTTATGTTGCTGCCTTATGTTAAACTGCTTTAAACCTTCAAACATGATGCTTGGAATTGAGGTTCATCAGACCAGATAATCTTGTTTCTTACAGTCTGGGGGTCCTTCAGGTGCTTTTTTGCAAATTCTAAGTGTGTTTTATGTGTCTTCACTGAAGAGAGGATTGAGTTTGGCCACACGTAACAGAGACTACATGCTTCTGTGACCCTTCAGTGAAGCAGAATGCTTTTCTGAACTCTTTTCCAAATGTGTGGCATTGATGCAAATCTGTTTCTGAGCACTACAGGCAGTTATTTTGAAAGCAGTTTAACATAAGGCAGCAACATAACAAAATGTGAAAAAAATGAAGGCAAGGCACTGTATAAATACACACACATCCATGTATATATTTAAGAAAAATATGTTACGTTTATATATTGAATATATTTATATATGATATAACTTATATGAATATAAATATATACACGTAAATACATGTAAATATTTTCAAAATATGTGCTGTATGTATGTGTCTTTATACATAATATATATACACAGTACACACATATTATGTAAACAAAAACTTTTATTTTGGAT